CTACTCCAATCAGCACTCGATACTTCTACAAGGTTCAAAGACTTGATGCGTCACGGAATAGCATTTCCAGCAAGTTAAACACCTCCATCAACAGCTACCTTCATTCAATACTGAAAATCAGATTGTCCGACGGGCGGAAAGGAATAACAACACAGAACTCCGGAAATGAACCATCCGAGAATCTATTTCCTAAATAATAATAATTATTATCATTTCTTTTAATTTCTAGAGGAACATATGGCTTCAGCAGCGCGTCTCCATTGCGTTGGGTCATCTGCCAACTTTTTCACCCCACTCCGAGTCTGCCCACATGCTTTTATCTCCTCTTCACATGACCTCCTCATAGTCACCCTTCCACTGACGACCAACTTGCCGCTTCCCTTTCGGGTTCAACTCGAGCAGTGGCTTGTCTAGTGATGTGACTTGATGGTTTCCTCAGAGTATGGCCAATCCATCTCCATTTATTCCTGCCTATTTGTTTCACAATCGGTTCCTGGTCGGTGGGTTCGCTCATTGCCAGAGAACCCTGTTGCTGATCTTTTCTGGCTGGCCATCTAATTTTGAGTATTGAGCGAAAACAACTTTTAATGAAGGTCTGAAGTTTGTTTGAGATGCTCTTTATGACGCGCCAAGTCTCTGATCCGTATAGTAGCACTGACTGACTTCACATTGGAGTTGAAAATCCGGATGTTATTTTTCATGTTGAGTGCTGTTGGCGTCCACACAGAATTGAGAGTAATGAAAGCTTGTCTTGCTTTTCCGATTCTGGCTTCGATATCGTCGTTAGTTCCGCCTGCAGTTGAAACGATGCTTCCCAGTTCGGTAGGTAAAGGAGGTTGTTTCCTTCAGGTTACTCCCATTTATGCCAGGAATCTTCATCACCTCTGTTTTATCTATGTTCACCTAAAGTCCTATCTTTGATGCTTCTTCTGCCAACTTGTTGCTTTTCATCACTTGGATATCTTCCAGTTTGTGGGAAATCAGATACATATCATCGGCGAAGTCCAGAACCTCAAGTTTTTTGTGTGAGTCCACTTTATGCCTGTTTCTTCATTGTTTGTTGCCTGTCGCATTATCGAATCTATTGCAATCAGGAAAATCATTTGCAATAGTAGACAGCCAACCCTCACTCCTGTCCTCACTTCGAAGGCTTCCGTAAGTTTCCCGTTGTGGATTACTTGGCATACAGCATTGTCATATAACTGTTGGATGAGATGTATAATTGTCGATGGCACGCTGTAGCAGCAAGAATTATAGGTGGGTCGAAAAATACACACACTGAGGTGATGAAAAATTGATGTCACGTGCCAAGCCGTCGAGGCGAACCCGAATCAGAAGAGAGATACGGGTTTTACATGCATGAAGACAGAGTATGAGGAGGAATCAAAAGCTTGGGGAACGTCGTGGAGTGAGCTAAACATTACTACAGAAAACAGAAATAAATGGTGATGGCCTGCTGAAGCACTAAGGGAATTATAATATTCCGATAAATAAAGAAACACCAGACTTGCGGTATAAAATGATGCCATCATTCTATTTCACGGGTTCTCATCAACTGCAAACTACAACAATGTTTGAATGGTAGTAGAGAAAGTATTATACAATCAACGCATCTGAAATATAAGCATTACAATTTTCAAAATAAAAAAGAGGTGGCAGGAGAGAAGTAGGAAGTTTATACAACAACTCAAGAAGGTTATACAATTGGTGGATGGTGGCTAGCAGTGGAATCCAGGATGTGCATTTCGTCCTATTTGGGACTCGTAGTCAGCTGGATGTACCTGCATTTCTCAGTGAGTGATGATGTTCCCACCGAGGCTCGAACTCAGTGCCCCTAGTTTCAAGCGCCAAAGCGTTATCCACTAGACCACTTGGGCCACGAGAGGTTATATTGCATAAAATTGGAAAATATCTCAGTCATCTGAAATCACTAATATGGATGATTAACCAGTGTGCCTAAAATGCAGTTGTTGTCAAGGGAGTAAAACATTGATAACACTGTCTCTTTCTGTATGTGCATAAATTTGGCTTGAAATGCTTGACTGCGATTACCTCAGCAAATCGTAGTAAATTTTCTGTCGTTTACACGTTTAATATCTTGAAGGATGTAGAAATCTCAGTTGAAAGAACCTTTGTCCACAAGATCTCTGGTTATTACTCTTGGTGAATATCCGCTTCCTTTTAAACATAGGTTTCTTGGGACATGCTCACTAAACTGGAAGGAAGCCGTCCCTACTGACCCTTCACTTTACTTACTCCTGCAACTGTATGTAAATTTCTAAACTCAGTTAAGGGTGAAATCAACAGGGTACTTATACAATTAGGGTTGGCTTATACAACATTCGATACTGTAAAGCATCACGAGCTTAGCTTCAGGGAAGCATCTTTTAGTTGGTGCTATAATTAAACTGTACATCTTCAGTGATACCACTTCTTTTTTAAACAGGAGACAAATGAACACCATCTTCTTTTTTGAGCAGTTGGATACTTCGTTTTCTCATCTTTTTCTTAGCTGTATTATTGGATAAGTCCCTTTGAAAACCTATTTTCCTACAAGCAATTTTTAACAAAGCTCTGTAAGTGCAGTGTCCTTTATCGAAATTTATCAAGGGAAACTGTCACATTATTTTGTCTTATATTTCATGTTTAATTACTCTGTTGTGGAGGGGGGTTCCGATTTGTGCGTTTATTTCACTTTTGTACTTTTTATATTTGATAAATTAAAGTTTTGCTTAGTATCTTAACATCGTATATCAGCTAATTACAAGGTTTTTCAAAACTCCAATTGGTTTCTTGTTAGATAAAATTTTACGAAGGGTTTTTTGTAGTTATACACCAGTGTAATAAATTCTAATTGTCGAAAGCTGTTTTTGTTAAATGAGACAATTAAAAGGCAGTAAATTTAATTATAACAAACTTTTAATCATAATCCGTTCATTTATTAGTATAACTTTTTCAATGAACGTGTTAAATCAATATTTTAATGGAGTCTTTATTCTCATTGGTTAAAATTTATATCCAATCAAATTTGAGGACATTCAACATCATTAAATAAAATGATAATTGACTACAAGTGTTGATTTTCACGCATTCGATTGATGTCAACTTGGATTACAAAACTGATATCAATAAGAGAATCACTGAAATCCAGGGAGTTTTGGACATCTATTCTATCCTTGTTTCGGACAATTTGTCCAACTTAGTACGATCAATAGTGTGGGTATATTTTGGCCTTCCTTTTGAAGTGCTTTCATATATCCACGCGTACGTAACCACTCGCACATAAGTCCGAATCACTGTGTCCCCTCTTCGGAGGTAAATGCGAACGTTTGACGCCAACATGAGCTGGATCTTGGAAACCGTGATTCCAAATTTATGGTGTATATAGCCTCCAGATCAACCGGCTTATGAAGCCATTTTGACGGCCGGTAACCCCTGGAGCCTACTTTGTAACGTTAATCTACTTTCTTGTGATTCAGACTTCAAGTTAGAGGCTCTAAATAGGCCCATTAAGACAATCATTTGCTTCGATTTGGGCGTCCTGGCAGTATCTTAGCCTTCATAGAAACTGTGGAATTTTGTGTGGCGCATCAGTTTATGCCTCTAATTTACTAGCTTTTTGCCTAAATAAATAAATAATCCCATGCTTCAGCAGTACGCACCCACTCCCTCCCTCTAATATCTAATGGCTAATAAAGATAAATCCTCGACTATAAAGCTATTTGTTTACGATTTGATCACGGACTGATATCAGTTAGAGAACCATTGAAAACCAGGGAGTACTGGACAGCTGCTGTTTCATCCTAGTTTGAGAATCATCGGCAGTACGCACCCGCTTCTAGGGCTAGAACCCAGAACCTTCCGGTTACACGGCAAGCTTTTTATACCATTTAGCCACTGGGACCCGATTCAATGGCCAGTCCATGAATTCTAACTTTAGGGCGAACATCAACCAACGTCATGGTGGGACATCCATCCTCACACGTGACTGGATCGACCTCACTGGTTACGGCTTCTCACTAGAACTCAGGAAACTCCTTTCTGTAGCAAGTCACCAGCGAGCATCAGATTAATTTTCAAGAGTTGGGTTTGTAAGGGGTAGTTGTGTTTTTACGAGTTTATCACGATTGGATGTCAGTTAGAGAAGCATTAAAACTAGATAGTACTGGATAGCTGTTCATTCTGGTTTTATATTTTTGATATTTTTTTGATTTTCGATTACAGCTTGATTCCACACTGTATTTTTGGTACAAGTATGGAATTTTCAGCGTGGATATCGGTAGCCCAAATTGTGCAGGCCGACCATAGATATCAGGTGTGCGTCGGCAGGGGATCGAACCTCGGACCACCGACGTTTGGGAGTAATCGGCAGCACGCACCCACTGGGATTAATCCCGGTTTTCAATGCTTCTCTAACTGACATCTAACCGTGATCAATTGGTAAAAACATAACTAACCCTTACAAACCAAACTATAGAAAATTTAAAACCATTGGTAAAGAATCCATTGGTTTGTGACTTCCAACTCCTACTAATTCGCGATATATATGTAGTGCTGTCACCAGCCAACGCCCTCGGTGGGCATTTGTCCTCATGTCTGAAATTCTGGTGGGGCATCATGATCAGCTCGGTACATCAAGATTAAATACTTACCGATGACATCGGTCAGCGGTAGTGCTGCATATCGCGAAGCTGCAGAATTTAGAATTGACGGACTATTATATTCCGTCTCAGTGACTGTAAAGTCTACGAGCTCGCCTTCTAACCTGAAATTCTCAGGTTCTTTCTTTGGTTGGGCCTTAGTCGAGCACTGCTGAAGAGTCCAAAACAAGGAAGAGCCAGCTGTCCGATACTCCTCAGAGGTGGCATCTACATCTTAGACTTTGGATTGTCCTCATACAGACAAATCGAGTACACTGTCTCAACTTACTGTGATTGTTTCAAATCGCAGGTATAATTTGTGTAATCTTAGGATGATGTCGGTCTATAAAAACAACTTACCAGTGGGCAGATTAGTTGCACTGGCTTGTTTACGTAAAAAGTCCAAGCAAGCTTCATGTCCTATTCCTAAGGTGTACATCCGCCAGAGAAATTTACTGAAAATTAAAATATACATAACCAGATATCAAAAACAAGAATAAATCGACAAATACAAATGGAATTCAAAATCCATAAATTACTCATTTTAGCTAACATATAATATATCACATATATAATATTTTCTATGGAGGGATTTATCTCTAATTCCATTCACCTCCTCGTCAAGGGCATAATGTTATTTTTCTGTATATCCACAGGGAGCCTGAGTTAGATAATATTCTTGCTGATAGAGTATTGAAAATCAAAACAAGTGATTCAGAAAAGAGATTCTTTTCAAAGAATTTACTAACAAGCTGTACAATTGTATATATATATATATACAGTTTTTAAGAAATTAAATCCAGTGAGGGAATCAGACCAAAGGTGTGAACGCATGAAATAATAATAGTAGTATGAAATGCAATTAAAATTAAAGCACAAGATCCCGCTGCTGACCAACTCTGTGTGCGTTTATCAATTCACTTGTTCGTGTTGAGCTAGGTGCATCGGTAGCTTGACTCGAGTTTTGTCTAGGAGGATGTAAGAACACTGTCCTGTATTGGTACGAAGAGGTAGAAGTGAAGCAATAAGAAGTGCGACCATTCAACATCTGGTCGATAATGATCACCTTATCTCTTTATAGCCTCCACCTTTAAAGTCATCTACGAGGCGAAAAGTAATTTACCGAAATCACAACGTACCCGACTCATCTGTATTGCTGAAGCTTTGGCTATCAAAACAGAAAAACCAGATCTCTGTGTGCAGGAAAAGTTCGTCCAACCCCCCCCTTCAACATTCATGGTCTTAATCCCTCCTCTATGCTAAAGTATGGTAATCCCCAATCATATTTAAGCTCTACCAGTTTTTCATATTTTCATTTTGTCTATTCGGTTTTGTATACTCTTCCTTTATTACGTCAATTGTTACTGTTATTACCACTCTCATTTGGAATGGTCCCCGGTATTATTTTACTTGTTCCAATTGTCATTGTAAATCACTTCTATTTTGCAACGTTAAATTCTATGTCATTGATATGTATCCACATATATATATATATATGTATGGTGATCTCTCTTTCTGTTGCTCGCTTAGTCTGTGACCATTTCACCTTGATGAACCTGTCTCCTTTAACAATGTATATTCCCCTCATATTATATATAATATGTGTTTGTTGACAATATGTGTGTGTTGACATGTCTGTTATATTTTGCTATGTATATATGGATCGACACTCCATTATAATTAGCCATTCATGTCTATTGACTTGTTCACACACTTGTCTGAACATTCATATATATTTCGCTCACACAATCTTGTGTGACTTTGGTGTGATACCACTTATTGATTCTCCTGGTGTTTTGGAAAATAGAAGTATCATCGCAAACCTAGTGGTCTTCTGATTTCCGCCTTCTTGCTTCAGGACTATTAAATTCTCGACCAGTACATAATAATAATTTGGCGACGAGTACATAACAGTCATCGAATCCCACACAATATTACGTAATGCCTTTATTTTATTCGATTTATCTACTAATTCTATAGCTGCACACCTCTTCTAACATCTATAAATCCTATGAATTATTCTTTATATGACATTAATTGTTTTGTCACTTCACATTGAACTATGATTATAAGCGCGAAAATTTTAATTTTAATTACATTTCATACTATTATTATTATTATTTCATGTATTCACACCTTTGACCTAAACCCCTCACTGGATATAACTTCTTAAAAATGCCACGTATATATATGATTGTACAGCTTGATAATAATTTCGTTGTTTAAAAGAGTCACTTCTCTGAACCACTTGTTTTGATTTTCTATGTTACAATGGAAATATTCCATGGATATAGTAGTGGGGGTGGGCAGTGGTGCCCCCCACCCTTGGCGAAATTTGCACAAAATCATTCAAAAAAAGGAAAAAAAAAAAAAATAAAAAAAATAAATAAAAATAATCTCACCTTGTTGGGAATGCCATACAAAGTTGAAGGCTCAAAGGCGAAAAAAAAGAAAGTCCAGCATATCTGGTAAAAGCTGAATTCATGAAAGGCAAATCATGCGCTGATCAAATTGCAAGTCTACGCATCGTCGTCACAGAACAAAGCGTAGAGTGGCAGTTGAAAGACTACCTCAACTTCATCAACTTCAAAAGTACCTTCGACAGCGTTGGCCAAGAAGTCATTTGGAAAATACTTCAACACGATAGCGTACATCAAGTATTTATCAACCTCATTTGACTGAAATAGATTCATATGATTCACAATGGAAAACTCAGCGAGGTATTCGAAGCGGATAGTGAACTTGAGCAAGGCTGCCTGTCTACTGTCAGTGATTATGCTTCTAATTATGATGGACTGTTTTACTGTATCAGATTGTGTGTGGGAAGCAAGGAGACAGTAATACACCTTACCGATGAGAAAAGTCCAGAAGATCTAGACGTCGTGTGGATTCTTTGTGCCTTGTGTCACACAAATATGAAGATTTAGGGAAGAAAATCAACAAACTGGTGGAAGAGGTAGACAGCGATGAAAGGACTTCAAGTGAACTCAGAGAAGACATAGGGGATGCGTGTGACCAAGCAATCAATCACTGACTTCTGGGAGAAATTTGAACGGGCTCTTTTCATTCATCTATCTACAAAGGACTGCTTCAAATGCGGGTGATGGGATGGATGAAGATTTAAAAACCAGAATCGGAAAGGCAAGATGCGCTTTCATCAGTCTGAAACCAGTTTGCAAATCCTCTACACTCACAGCATAAAGTAAAAGATTAGGATTTTCAACACAAATGTTTGGTCGGTTCGCCTATACAATTCAGAAACTTTGGCCAGCGTGTCATAAAAAGCATTTCCTACAGGTTGCGAATTCTTATCAACGGCTGCCTTTGCTGAATCCATACTGAAGATCAAATAGCTAGCGTGAAAGAATTAATATCAGGAACCTTTGGCAATAAACCAATCAATAGTCGATAGCTTAACAAGTACACTGTGCCTCGGTGGCACAGTGGTTAGGACTCTCGCCGACCATGCACATGGTCCGGGGTTCGAGCACACACCGACGCACACTTGATATCTATGGTCGGCCTGCAAAATTTGGGCTACCGATATCCATGCTGAAAATTCCATACTTGTACCAAAAATACAATGTGGAATCAAGCTGTAAATCAAAAATAAAATAAAAAGATAGATCTGGCAAGCATTAAGAATTCCGTTGAACGACATTGCACACCAGCTAGGCCATATCTCGAGTGAAATCCAATTAGGAAGAGACAAGTGCGTGATCCTTGAGTGACATGGAGGAGATTGTGTGGCGAAGAGGAGATGAAAGATTATTGATAACCATGGATTGATCCAACTGATAAATGAACAAGGTGGAGAGGTGTTATTGAAGACCTATGTTTCACTTAGAACACACGGGAATAATAATAATAATGTTGAGAACATTCTTTTCGATTCTCAGGCACTTTATAAGATTGATTTTGCTTATCTAATTCTGTTGCACAATACCTGTCTTGTATCTGAGGTCTAATTTGATCTGTTTACCCGCCTAATAGCATTAATTAAGTCATTTTGCCTACGGCCGAAAACCCATTCCGAAAACATGGACATTAACAGTCATCATTCCCCATATAGAGCAGAGACGTCAAACAATATTAGAAGAGTACTCAATAACCTCGATATCAGAGCTTTCTTCAAAACATCAGACACACACACATTGGGAAGCAACTTTGTCTATATAAAAGACCAAATTCCCATGGATTCTCTATCTAATTGTGTCTATAAAATAAAATGCTTGCTTGGAATGTGATGCGATTTACATCGGACAAACATCGCCAGAGATAAATCAGAATCAGAAGAAATGAACACCGTAGACCTGCTTCTGTTCGACCACCGAGAAATCCAGTTAGTTAACTAGACCAGCTTGAAAAATCATCAACTTTAGGTCTACACGCTATAAAATCAGGCCACAAAATTGATTTTGACAATATCGAAATAATCCAGAAAAACTTCAGAAATCACAAAGAACGTCTTATATCAGAAGCACTATATATCAAGTGGAATCCAAATTGCCTGAATAGGAATGATGGACTAAAACAGAATCTCACCTGGTTACAACACCTTGCTCACCCATGAAGTGACAAAATCAACACGAATGTGATAAGCGATTCCATTATGTAAACACACGCCGCTTTTATAATTTTACACACTGATCAAATCCAACAATCTAAACTTGATTTTGTTATCTTTAGCAATTGACCAACTTGATAACAAAAAAACAACTTCATATAGACGAACGATGCTCAAGTTAGTAAACTTTATTTTGATATCATAACAGACGTACTATTACGTTTTGTTATTTGGTTTAGTGATCTTCATTGTTATTTTGACTTTCTATACGTCCCTTTAACTTGACCTAAGTCTATTTTCTCACCCCTTAACTCTTTGTTATACATGTGCTGAGATTTTGTAAATTCCGGTTTAATAAAACTTTGAGAAAGCTATTAGCATTAAATAGCGAAACTTCAGTAAAACCAATATCGTTTTGTTTTTCATTCATTTGGGAAATACAAAAATCTTTATTATAATGAAGTCATTTTGCATTTTGGTATATTTTACAACTGCTAAATAGTGCCACAGATTCCGATGCGAATGACTGTCCTTGTACTGTTGTGGGAACATTTTTGTGCTGTGAGTAACTCAAGAGAGTTCTGTTTAGCTGCAAAGTATAACGCAAAGTTTGAATTCCTGAGTCCAGACCACAACATCTCCCGTTCAGTAGTTGTAATACTTTCTAAGTGGAACATAAAAATTCAAGACTTAAATGAACTTTCAGTAGAAATCCTGCTTTTTTACCCGGGTGTTGTTGCCAGCCTCATTGCTTAAACTTAACCTTTTTCCTAAATTACTGTCAACAAGTAATATAGATGATTGTAAGCAGTGCTTTGATTGAGAAAATTGCCAATACCTCTTTTAAATGAGGAAAATTCGACCAGTAAACCACTAACGCACTCAAGATATACATAAGCTACACAAACAGAACACCTCTCAGTAACAATAATAAACCATTCAGCTTGCACGGAAACAACCACGTTCTTTACCTGAATAATCGTCCATCATATTGATGTCTCAAACTAACCAATTTTGTGGATATTCTTTTGTGTCTTTCATCTTTTCTCAGAGTTAGCCACATCATGAACCACCCATGGTTAAAGAAGCATTACCCAATAATTAGCTCTGGAAGATGTTTTGTACTAGTCTGGAATATATTCTAACAGCTTCCATCAACGACACTGAGGTAAGTTGATTGCAGAGAAGCCATCGCATTCCCTTCTTGCTAACTGTCAATTTAACCCGTTCTAAAATTCAATGTCATTGCCAAGTAATTCTGCTCATACTCCATCTTGACAGATAGGATCATGTCTGTGTGCTGAAAGTACTGCGTAACTGCGAAAGTCATTGGATATGAAGTACACTGAAAGCAGGTTTCATCCCAACCTGGAGATCTTTTGCCTGTAGGCACTTGCAAGATCTTCCCCAAAAGTAGCCACAAATAGAGTCATATGAATATTATCTTCATGTTTCTTCAGATTGGCAGAGTTCTAAACTCACTGAAGATGAAGACCCCTGTAAACGGATCAGAGCTGAAAACAAGTTCCATTCATAAATGACAGCGAATAAATTTGATTTCTATTATATGAAAATGTCTCCCATATGACTCAGGACAGGGTAACTTACCTCAATTGAGTATAAACGATATCATTCTGAAATTCCGCCTCTGCTTTTATTGGATCTTCACTTTCATGACTAAAAGTTGAAAAAAAGGTGGAAAATAAATCGGTTAAACAGCTGATAATTTCGGGGATCTGATTCGTTTTTAAATGACAGTTTCCTTCACGAATTGGCGTCAAGTGAAGAATTATTGAAAATCGCAGGATACAAGGATACCTATTTCAGCCTGGTTTGATACTTTCCAGCCGAATCAAAGTTCTTCAATTTATGAAGTCTTAGGTGGACCGCTGAATAGTTCAAAACCAGGATAAAACAGCTGTTCAGTACTCCTCCGACTTGAGTGTTTTTGTAACTGATGTCAGTCTGCTAGATGAGACAACACTGGCCATCATTGCTTAATGTTATTCTGGTTGACAAAGCGCTGAAGAAATGCCGCCGGAAGTATTATTGTACATTTTACTAACACTTATTCACAGACTTTGAACACACTAACTTATAATTCTGTTTTCGTAATCATTGGAGGAGTAAACAATGGTTTTGTCTTCCCGTTTTTTCTGATATTCCGTGTTGATTACTGTGCATGGTATTCGGCGTGTTTTTGGCATAGTCTTGTGTGAAGTCGGCGATAGGTTTAGGATCTTTTGCAATCTAGACATTCGACCACAGCTTCTTTCTGGAAAAAGCCTTTTTACACAACGTTCAAAATTCTTAGTGTATTTTATTTGCACAACACACACTTTTTTTTCATCCAAGACCTTCGGGTACAATTTCAATCTATATAGCAATGCCATGTGACTGACTCTCTGGTATTCTATCCGAAGCAAAGATCAGTCTCAGATGAGACTTTTCCTTCGTCTTCAAGGAATTCACATGAGTTTACGACTCAAGGATATAGTTAAGCAGTTAAAAGAATAAAAATTAGATTGAATACAATAGCACCGTATTGGATGGAGACTCTCAATGACTTAAACAGACCACAAAGACTTATTGTTCACTGACATTGAAGCCTTCTGTTTTCATCTTATTTTGAAGCGGTATCGACAACAGAAATGGACAAATGCATGCAATGTGGGGATATTTTACGTTAAGGGATTATTCCAAACAAAAACTTAAGACTTAACAACTGCATTTGGTTGCGTGTATTTGAATCTACAGCATGTAGAATCTACAGCATGAACACAACGTCATAGGCCAAGGCGCTTCTAGACGACTACTTTTACATTTTTACAAGTATCAGGATAATTAATGCATTGTTCCCTCAGCAGTAGAATGCTCGCTAACCATTGACGTGGTCTGGGGTTCGATCCCCATTTTACTCGCTCTTAAACCTCAGTGAGCTGGTAGGCAGCCTGATTAAGAGAGAAAAAGCCAGATGTCAGGCTAGCAATCCCACCCATAAAAATAAAACCACTGCTACAGAAACTTTGAAACTTTAGATGGAAGCTTTGTGTTACCCTCGAAAGGTTAAGGATGTGTCGGTGGCATAGCGGTTAGGACTCTCACTGACCATGCACATGGTCCGGGGTTCGATCCCCTACTGATGTATACCTGTCATCAATGGTTAGCCTGCGAAAGTTGGGCTACCGATATTCATGCTGAAAATTTCATACATGTACCGAAAATACAGTTTAAAATCAAGGTGTAATCAATAATAAAGAATAAAAATATTCGTCATTTAGGTAGAGCGTAAGAATTACCCGTACTAAAATCAATACTAAGTAGGTATCCTTAATTTCCTTTCTTTAATGGACTCGCAATGATTTAGTCTGTCTCTTTCTCTAACTATGTGCACGTTTCATCAATGAAAGATAAACTGTTGTTCGTTCTGAAGCATAGACTAATCCTTTATGATACTTTTCCTCCGTCACGCGTGCCTCGGTGACACAGTGGTTAGGACTCTCACCGACCATGCACATGGTCCGAGGTTCGATACCCTGCCGATGCACACCTGATATCTATGGTCGGCCTGCACAATTTGGGCTACCGTATCACATGCTGAAAGTTCCATACTTGTACCGAGAAATACAGTGTGGAATCAAGCTGTAAACTATATATATTATACAACTCAAGCAACAGTTGTATGACAATGCTGCATGACAAACAATACACAATGGGAAACTCACGGAGTCCCTCAAAGTGAAGATGGCGGTAATACAAGCAGGCTGCCTACTATCTTCAGTGATTTTCCTGATTGTGGTGACTGGATAATGCTACAGACACAGAGCGAGCATCGTGGAGACAGTCATAAAATAGACCTACACAAAAAACTTGGAGGATCTGGATTTTGTCAATGACATATGCCTGGTTTTCCACAACATGAAAGATATGCAAGTGAAAAGCAACAAGTCGGCAGAATAAACATCAAAGATAGCAAGAACTTCAAGTGAACATAGGGAAAACAGTGGTTATGAAGGTTCCTGGCCAACAGCAACAACAACCACAGGCAAAAATTGGAGTAAATGTGAGGAATCTAAAGGAAGCAACGTCTTTTATCTACCCACCTGCCTGGAAAGCATCGTTTCAACTACAGGAGGACGGGACTGATGAGGATATCAAAGCGAGGGTTGAGAAAGCAAAGCAGGCCTTTTTTTCTCTCAAGTCTGTGTGCAGATTAATATGCAGGATGAAGTTAGTGCTACCAAATGGATTAGAGAATTGGTGTGTCATGAAGAGCACCTCAAACAAAGTACAAACCTCCATCAACAGCTCATTTCGCTTAAAACCACTCAGGATCAGACGACCGGCCAGAAATGATCAGCAGCAGGGATCTCTGGGAGCAAATCAACCCAGCATGATCCAATTGCACAACAATATGCAGGAAGAAATGGAGTTGGATCGGTCAAACTCTAAGAAAACCATCAAGAGACATCACTAGGCATGCCCTCGAGTGGGAGCCAAACGGGAAGTGGCGAGTTGGTTGTCAGTGTGAGGATGACATGGAGGAGGTAGTGCGAAGAGGCGATGATGCGAAAAGAGATGAAAGCATGTGAGCGGACATGTAGCCCGGTGAAAACTTTGGCGGAGAACTGAAAGCGGTGGTGGCGTGCAGCTGAATCCCTATGTTTTTCTAGGAACTCAAGGAAACAGTAATAAGTGAGTGAATTATGTAACTCAAACATATAACTGAATGGTTAAGACGATCAAAATCATAGAAAATTTCTGCTGGATGGAAATTCAAGTAGCCCAATGGCTTAAGCAGACCGCAAGTATTGGAGATGAATTTGAATCATACCTGATTTTACGGGTTTTTTTCAAATAAGCGACCATTGTCTTCTGATCATGGGAGTTTTCAGGTAATGATGCATCTCAACAGCTGTCGTAAATCCTTAAATCGGTAAACTACACACACACACATACACACGCATATACATTCATGCAAAAAAAAAATAAAACATTCCTACTTACACAATGCAAGCTTGACGTTCAGCACGTTCACGTTGTAATGCAATGAAGAAAGCAGCATTCCAAAATCTCATCGATTGCCAAATCACTTGTTCTTTCAGTAATGTATAAAGATACTTTTGATTGACTGTGACATTCGATGAAACACCTGTAAACAAGAAGGATGAGATGAGAAGGAATTGATGAAACTTTCAGCGGTTTGTAGTGTTTATTAATAATAGCAGCGTTGGTTTGTAGGGATTTGATTGATTGGACAGGAATTCATCATGTTGATCACTACAAGACTCTTTAAACCTTTAGGAATCGAAGTCGTACACAAATCAACATAGTCGCTTCACTCAGTTCTATGTCAACCAAAAGACTCAACAGCGAACAAAGATAAAACCAACATCATCTACAAAATAAATTGTAACAACTGCGAAAAACACTACATTGGTCAAACTGGACGTCCCCTTCGTCTTCGTATCCACGAACATAACCTAGCCGTCAAAAGACATGATATCCTTTCTCTCATATCACTACAGACAGACAACCATGGACATCAATTTGACTGCGACAACGTTCAAATATTAGACAAAGAAAACAACAAGAATGCTAGAGAATTTTTTGAAGCCTGGTATTCCAGTGAATCGTCAGTCACAGACACATCGAGATAGACAAAATTTATCAACCGATAAGAAATAAACTTCACACACAAAGTGTCAAGGTTCAAGTCAAAGAAACAACCGGTTCCAATACAAGTAACCTAGAAGGTTTGAAAACACACATAAACATTCAATCACATTCAAGGTCACCAGGAGAGATGATTAATAAACTCGTGAAGAAATCTAAAAGCTCACTTCAAATTGAAGTATGCACTGAAGATGTCACCCAATAGGGTGATGAAAGCTTTTCAAATTAATCATCCAGCTCAGAGAACAAAACCACATCAAAAACATCGGTTAGTGAACCAGGGGAAAACCTGTGAGTACTGAACCAGGTGAGCTCGTAGACAATTTAGTCATTAAGAGCTGTTCCAGTGGTTCATGACTTCCAACTTCTGGCAATTCACGACATAACTTCGACCACTAATCAATGTCATCGGTGGCAATTGTTTGTCCTCACACACGATCTTCTGTACTCCACTGATCCACTCCCACTAGGACGCCAGATAACTGCCTACCTGAAATGGGCCGAGTCGCTAGTGGGCATCTTATTGACATTAAAGCATGGGTTTGTAGTGATCTGATTGACTGGTCACAGGATTTCATTTCACCTTGGGTTCTAGTGGATCACTAGATCAGGTCCCAGTGGTTTATTATTCTACGAGCTCGCCTTGTAGCCAGAAGGTCCTGAGTTGGAACCATAATGGTGAGTACGTGCTGATGAATAGTCACAAATTAGGCTAGAGAAACAGATTTCCAGTACTCCCTGCTGGTTGTCCAACGGTTCTCTACCCCATTTCTGCTCATAATGAAATCCTGTAACCAACAATAGTAGCTTTATTCCAAAACAGCAGCCTTCATACAAATGTGGAATATTTATCATGTAGTACAGTATTGCATTTAAATTCCTCATTACGGGGATAATAAATAGATCGGGTCATTTGCATTGATAGTATTTTGCGATAAGAGAAGATAATGGATATAAAATTAGGTGAAAATATTAATGGTAATTTAACAAACGAAAACAAAATGCGACCACTCACTTCGAGTTGCCAAGTAAGTGTCATGTCTTACACTCCTCTCATCACATTAAATGTGTGCCTACCGATTAAGGTTTCGTAGAGTCTTTGTACTTAGTCGTCCTGGTATACAGTCTTCTTCTTATAGTTTCCTCTAGCCTCTCTACCTGATCCGATACAAGCAGAGAGAGGTGTGTATAGACAGGATGTCCAGAGTCGGAGAAGATAGTATTTGCAATTGATAGTGTTCTGTGAGCTCCTTGGTTTAATTGCGAAGCTTTCATCGTCTTTCTGGACAACATTCTCTTTCAGCGCAGTATTTAGGATAAAGTGAAATGATTTAAATTTCTTCATGAGTCTCCCGGTAACCATCTTTAGCTATTTATTGACCGTTTTCTATTGATTGGGATTTTAAACTTTCTGGTCATCTGATTCGCTTTTTATTAGTTGATATATTTCATCTATATTAACGTGTTTATTAATGGCTTCTAGGAATTCCCTGGCACATTTGGTGTTTCCTCTGTTTAAGATTTTGATATTATCCCAATCAAATTGACGTCCATAATTATCTGTATGCATTGATACTAAAGAATTTATATCATGTCTTTTCACGGCTGACTTGTGTTCTTGGATTCTTATTCGAAGGGGACGCCCACTTTGGCCGATATAATGTTTGTTACAGTTCACACAATTTATTTTGTAAATGGTGTTAATTTTATCTCCTTTTTCTATCGGATCTTTTGGTTTGCATAAGATGGAATGAAGCGATTCAGGTGGTTTATGTGCTACATCTGTATCAAACGGTTTCATTATTCTAGCCGTTATTTCAGAGATGTTTCTGATATATGGTAGGATGAATTGCTTTTTGGTCTTTGGTGATGGTTCTTTGTTGGTGCTTTCATTCGATTTTAAACACTTTTTGATGAAATTTTTTGGATGACCATTCTTCTTGAACACCGTTTGTAAGTAACTTTCTTCCATTCTTTTCAACTCTGAAGTACTACAATGTCTTTGAATTCTTCTAAACAATGTCTGCACACAGTTTCTTTTGTGAGTAATTGGATTGTTGCTAGTATAGTTGAGTATTTGATCTGTGTGCGTTGACTTTCTATATACTTGTGTTTCTAAATTTCCTGTGTTGGTTCTCCTGATTAAGACATCTAAAAATGGGATTTTGTTATCTAACTCTTCTTCTCTTGTGAATTTGATGTCTTCAAATATGTTGTTTATTAATTTATGGGTATATTCTAAATCATTTCTCTTAATTATTATTATCGTCCAGAAAGACGATGAAAGCTCCGTAATTAAACCAAGGAGCTCAGAGAACACTATTAATTGCAAATCATCCACCTGAGTTACAAATCTTTTCTATTATTTCAAGATAGTATTTGCTAGTTTCTTGCAGGACTCCACGTTTTTATATACAATAGTATTGACCAGTTGCTTTAGCAACGCCCCACTCCCCCTATTGACAGCCTTTAGTGCCCTATGCAGTTTAACAAAGCTTTTCTTAAATACCCGGGCAAAGATTAAGGGTGGCGGAGCAGTAAAGAAGTATATGCATAACTTACCTTCACTAAATCGAAACTGAAGATAAGATGGCAAGAAGAGAAAAGACACAATGAACTTCGTCAATAAATCAACCTAGAACCTATTGCTTGTTATTGAATGACACTTCGTGAAAGAACCGAAAACAGAAAACGACAAGTTGGGCGTGTGTTACGATTTTTTCTTACCATTAATTTACGTTCCCATTGGAATATAGGACGCCTTCAATCTAGAGGCTTGAAGTTTCTGTAGCACTGGTGATTATTTTTACAGGATATGGGTTGCCAGCCAGCCTCATGTCCAACCTTCTGTCTTTACCGGTCTTATTACTGGCTTAGCGAGGAAAAACGGAGTGCTTCGGCAGCCAGAGATCGAACCCCGTATCACGTGTGTGGTCTGCGAGCATTATACTGTTATGCTACCGACGCACTGTAAGTTGGGCTGTTATGGGCGATCATGGAGCCACTTAAAATGGACTGCATAGAACAAGGTGGAATAGAAATGTTCTGCTGATAAGTTCCACTGGGAACCAAGGTAAATAAAATCAAAAATAAAAGACCACCCACACATATTTTAGACCTTTCACGTGTCCAGTTGTTTCGTAATCATTATTACTGCAACTCCGTTTGGATAAACGGAAAATGTTTTTATCACGTGAACTGTGTTTGATTCACATGAGAAATAGTTTTACACGTAAATCAGAACATTAATCATAACACAAACAGAAATGACTACCAACTGATCTATGAACTTTTTCCAGGAACAAGAACAAAGAAGAAATCCTCACAAATGACTGTCAATACAACCAGTATTGCTGACAATAAACTGGTAAAAGTTTATATAAATAAGATCCGAATTTTCAATGATAATGTCAGCTTAGTGCTTCCAGGTAGTTAAGAGACCTGAAGCTTCACAAAAAGTCTTTTCAACAAACTACCTCAGATTTTCATGAACTGGTATCTTCGCTCCATACTGTCTTTTTCACATGACCTGAATCATCTATGGATAGCCATATAAGTTTAATTTATGGGTATTGTTTATTATCCGACATCACGAAATCTTTGGAGGTAAGTTAAAAGTTTTCTGTACATAGACTTAGTAAATTATTAGGTTCATTCAAATGGGTAGAATCCCACGAGAAAAATGACGGTGATATCGTGTTCTGTACTGTACGTCGTTTCTCCTTTATTCCCATAATAATCCCCAGATCCTGATCTAGAATTTCGCCTTGTGGTTTGTCGGCAATCTTTTAAGCCGAAAATGAATGGAACATTTAGACAGATTGTGAAAATGAGGTATATCAGCAGAACTTTTTGACTGATATAACGCCCAGTTGTTGCGCCCAGCTTTTATACCATGGGAATCAGCATAACCCAGAGGCAAAGTTCAAGTTTATGGAGAAGGATCAGATGATATAATTCTGTTAGTTCAATCCAATTGAGTTCTCAGTGTAACTTATGACTTCAAGCTTCAGCTTTGAAGCTACAGTATCACTGGTAACTTTTTAAAACAGTGTAGGGTTGCTAGGCGGAAGCTGAACTTTCCCTCTTTTTATGCACCTAATACCAGTTAGGAAATATTTTGTGAGTGCATCAGCCAAGAATTTAGCCTGAATCACGTGCCTGGTTAAAAGGCACACAGTATTAAATTCAATTAAATTTTATTTTGATCAAATCACACAGTGTTGTTGTACAGTAATATTAACTGATGACCACGTTTCGAGCACAAATTATTGCCACTCATAACCATATTAAGTCACCCATACGACATTTTGCTTCATTTATATACATGAGTGAAATTGATGATTTGACATTTGAATACAAATCAGTAATATAAGATAAAGGACATTCAAAAATAATAATATGAGTGTTATTGATCAATTACAATCAGATGGGAAATAAGACGAATGTTTTTATAGTCAGAATAAATGGGTAACTTGTCAGAATGTTGTGATGTACGTGAATAGAAATAGAATTTTGAGATTATTTATTATCCTCCACTGATGTGACTGACTGGTGGTAATAATATCTTCAATATCTCTGGTATTTGCATTGAGTCATTTCTGTTGCATGTGTTGTGTTGAGTGTAGACTCGATCAACCAGGCAGGATTCAGTAATCAATCTATCTCGCTCTCGAATTGCCTATGTTACTCTTTAAAATGTTGACCCTGTCCGCCCCCCCCCCACCGTATTGTGTATCTGTGTCTTAATGCATGCAGTACGATTGTTGAATTTTCTTTTAAATTACTCATCTGTCTTCGTGGGATCAATCATTCTAACCTTAGCCACTAAACTCTTATGTTCTGATAATCTCACTACCCCGATCTATTGGTCTTACTCACCTATAAGGGTTGACTTAACTCACAGTCATAGCAAGGTATTTTTTAAATTATATTATTTTGTTTAATTGGGTCCACTGACAGGGGGTTTTAGCCTACAGAGCTTGTCTTGTCTGAGTGAGTTTGTGCTTGTAAATGCCACCATAATTCCTGCTTTGTTGAGAATCTAACGTAGGGTCTCAGATGTCCCTTGTTTATATGGCAAAACTATAGATGCCTTATATTCTTTATTATTCATGTCATAACTATTAGTTTCTCCACTATTTTTAATTTGCTTTTTATTGGATTCAAACGTGTAATCATTTCTTATTCATGTAGGTAAATGAAGCAAAAAAGTTATGTGAGTACCTCGGTATGGTTATGAGAAGATATAACTTGAATATCAGTGAGATGCTAACTAGCAACTTGCCCTATTCAAGTAGATAGTTACCTGGGGTTCCAGTGAGAAGTCGTGACTAATAGGGTGCAGCTGGTTGGGTGTGAGGATAATTGTTCGCCGAAGACATTGGCTAGCGGTCGCGCCATGTCGTGAATTGGTAGAAGTTAGAATTTATGGACTGGCCACTGGATCGGGTCCCAGTGGCTTAATGGTCTACGAGTTAGTTCGCCTTGTAACCAGAAGTTCCTGGGTCCGAATCCTGGTTGATCCGTACTGCTGAAGACTCCCAAACTATGACGAAACAGCTGTCCAGTACTTCCTGCATGTTTCCCAATGGTTCTCCAACTAATGTCAGATCATGATGAAAATCCTGTAACCAGTCAAATCCTTATAAACTAACACTTGAGAAATAATCTGTGTTCGAAACATGGTCATCAGTTAATATTACTGTACAACAACACTGTGTGATTTTATCGAAACGAAATCTTATGCATAATAGAACTGACGAGGACATCAAAGCCAGAATCGGAAAAGCAAGACAAGCTTTCATTACTCTCAATTCTGTGTGGAGGTCAACAGCACTCAGCATCAAAAATAAGATCCGGATTTTCAACTCCAATGTGAAGTCACTGCTACTATACGGATCAGAGACTTGGCGAGTCATAAAGAGCATCTCAAACAAACTTCAAACCTTCATTAACAGCTGTCTCCACTCAATACTCAATATCAGATGGCCAGAAAAGATCAGCAACAGGGATCTCTGGGAGCGAACCAATCAGGAACCGATTGTGAAACAAATAGGCAGAAGAAATGGAGATGGATTGGCCATACACTGAGGAAACCATCGAGTGGCATCACTAGACAAGCCCTCGAGTGGAACCCGAAAGGGAGGCGGCGAGTTGGTCGTCAGTGCAAGGGTGACTTGGAGGAGGTCATGCGAGGAGGAGTTGAAAGCATGTGGACAGACCTGGAGCAGGGTGAAAAAGTTGTCAGAAAACCGAAGTCAATGGAGGTGCGCAGCTGAAGCCCTATGTTCCTCTAGGAACTAAAGGATACAATAATATAATATATAATAATAACACAGTGCCCAAGTTTTATCCTTATATCAATTCAACAAGTGAACGACTGGCTCTTGGACTGATAAAATTTGTTAAAAAATGTCTGACCACATAGGTAGCATATGCTCAAACAACAACTTTGCATATAAATTACTTTTATCACAGAACAACTGACTCACTTTCATGGTATAATGTGAAGCTTAACTGCATGATTATGTAAGCTGGTGCATAATCTTCATTTTCATTACATTGATTTAATAATGGTCCAATGAATAAGGCAAGTTGTTCAAGTATCTGATTCGGTATAGCTTTCATTCCTCTAGTCTTTATTGTAGGATAGAAAATAACAAATGCATACGAATATTATATATGTACCAATTAAAAATCAAATCAGTTGAAAATAAGTTCTTCTCCGAATGTGTCTAATTCACTACTTTTATGCAGAATTAGTCATTGAACTATTCCAAATTCAACAATCACACTATTAAGTTAACAATTAAACTCCGTAATATTTAATTTCATATTATTTTTGTTTATTAGATATGTCATACAAAGAAACAGTATTACTATTTACTGGATGACACAGTTTCCAATACAAATTATGATTCTTCAAATCATTTAATTAGTTCAAATCACACGACTTCGAAACTTGAGTTTTGTAGTTTTCTTTATTCTCTCCTACTTGTCTTCTTAGGAACAGTAGAATTTTCCAAATGTTCCGGTTGGACAAGTGTTGAATCATTCCTGTCACACGGGTGTTGGTTTGCAGTTGATTCGATAAACAAGGCTTCTGTTATCAATCTCTCCGTCCACCCTGCTGTTACATTAGATTTTAGAACTGTCATCGTATAAAATCCTATTTTATGGATGCTGGTGTGTAATTGCATGTAGTGAGTGGTATAGCTGAACTATTCTCGAGATTTCTTATCTTATTCGGGTCAGCTAATCTAGATTTTCCTGCTAGGTTCTTATGCTCCGCTAGTCTGACTGACTGACCCTGTTCTACTACTCTGACCTATGTATTTGACTTGACACTCATTGCAGGTAGGGTATTAGATAAACTAAATTGTTTTGTTTTACAGGTTCCACAGAATCTTCTAGTCGACGAAGCTAGTTTCTAATTGAGTTAGTGGATTTGAATGCCACATTTATTCCTCTCTGCACTGTTAAGAATTCTGCGCAAAGTTTATGAGGCTCCTTCCTTGTATGGAATTACTATCGATGATTTAGATTCCTTATTGTTGGTGTTATTTGACGCATTGTTTGACACGCATGTCGTCATTCGTATAACCATTATTATTGTCACTACCACTACTTTCATTATTTTTTTCATTTTTACATTTCCCTACATACTTTCTGACTAATTCATCAGGGCAATTATCAAGTTTCAAAACTTCTCTTATATGCCTCACTTTCTGTCTTAGATTTTCCCGGTACTAAGTTTCTGTGCTCTATTATGTAAACATTTCACCCATCCTATTTCTAGTGACATTGGATGGGATGATCGGAAGTCTAAATATCTGTTTGAATCTGGGGGTTTCCTGTGTGTTTAACTTCTTATCTTCATTCCTTTTTGTGCCACAATCTAACGTTCGAAGCTCCCTTTCCTGACTTTTCAACTCATAAGTGAATTGAATCGCCTCCGCCTTTGGGTTAACGTGTTCGAAAAATCTATATATATCCTGTGTTCCAAGTACAGTGAATGTATAATCTAAATACCTCCACCATACTTTTCGGGTGGGGCAGAACATTCCAATCTCTAAGTTTTCTCACCTATCCATGAATATATCTGCCCTAACCGGAGATATTGTTGACCCCATGGCAACTCCCTATGTTTGTTTGTATATTTTTCCCTGGCATAGCTGAACTCCCAGCATTTTGTCCTCGAGTGGCACTTTTGTACTAAGTTCGAGTTCTTGGTCAGAAATGAGTTCGCTTCTGACTGCCTCTATAGCCATATTTATTGATTTACGTGTATATAGACTGAAAATGTTAAACCTAACCATTTTCTCTTCATTATCTATTTTTAAATGATCTAATCTATAATGTAGTTCATAAGAATTTGTTCGTTTAGATTTCCAGTGGTTTTTAAGGTGATGTAATACCATGGCTAAATATTTAGATAATTCATAATTAGGGGAATTACTTACTACTGAAGTGCCAAGGTTTACAAATATATCCGTAATATTTAACTCATAAGTTTAGATCTTGGTCACTGCATTGCGTTTGATGAACTCAGACGTAATTTTCTCCACAAACTAACACGACTTATTAAACTGTTGAAAACCAAGGAGTATTGGACAAAACTGCCTCAACCTAGTTAAGGTATTTTCAAATCGCGTAATCACAATTCCATCAAGACATAAAACAAGGATCTTCAGGTTATTAAGTGAACTACTTGACTATTCATCCTCTAAGACGGAATCCTCTGGCACTGGTTAGCGGCAGTGCTGTATCTCCACCTCGGAGGAGTTAGAGTTGATGTGTTACTGGATTCCGACTTGGTGTCTGAATTGTCAAAACATTCACCTCTTAATCTTAAGGCGTTTGAATTCATCCTTGATGAAGTAGTTTGTGTTGATTTCTAAAGAGTTCAAAAATTAGGCGGAGACATTTTCAGCTATCGTTTGTTTTGCAAGCTTCTTTAACTAATGTCACATCTTGATGACAACTAAACTGAGATACATTTTGAAATAGAAGTTTACCTACTAACAAACATTATAAGTAGCATAAACCGTATTACAAAGTTTTTATCTAGGCGTTTGCCGATTGCCTCATTTTTTAGATTCATGAATAATTTCCATCCCAACAGTAACTAAAACAAAACATTTCCACAATATATGTTTTTTTCTTTACCCTTAAATTCCTTTAATGTGTTTTTACTTGGAATATCATTATGTGTGGTTGTTGACATGTCTGCTATATTTTGCTATATATATATGGATCGATACTCCATTATAATTAGCCATTGATGTTATGACTGTCTACTGATTTGTTCACACACTTGTCTGGACATTCATATATATTTCGCTCACACAATATTGTGTGGCTACACTTTGGTGTGATAACACTTTTGCATTCTCCTTGTGTTTGGAAATAGAGGTATCATCGCAAAGCTAGTGGTCTTCTGATTTCCGCCTTCTTGTGTCAGGACCATTAAATTCTCGACCAGTACATAATAATAATTTGACAACGAGTACATAACAATTTGGCGACGGGGAAAACTACTATTAACCACTCAGCAGCAGCAACATAACAAAAACAGTTAGTTCTCAGAAGAGTCTCTTTCTAACGATTTGTGCAGATTGTAAGCAACCAACTCATAATGCTACAAGGATAGCAAATCTATCATTTTTCTTATTTAGGGTTACTTACATCAGTTATAGTAAGTGTTATCTGGTTCATATAGGACATCTAATTTGCTAAACAAATTAACATCTTTAGCAAAATAATTTCAACTATTAGATTTAGTCACTAGAGAGTATTGGGTAGGTGTTACGCTCAATTAGAGAGTTCTTCACCAGTGTTCAACCGTGACCTAACCAGGGGTCGAACAAAAGACTTTCGCATTACGAAAGCCAATGTAGTTGACAATCAAAGCACTTGAATTGCAATTTATTTGCCCACAAATTCTAAATTTTCCAAACCATGATGTAGCACTACCCTTTTGATCAGTGACTTCGATGAAAATCCACTTCACCGTGATTTGTTAGACCCAAGTGTCGACAGGTAATCATCATATTTTCAGGACATCCATCCATTAACCACCGATGAGCTTAATATATATATTTAGATTGTAAGACTTGTGATAATTTATTTATTCCTTTATGTCCCTCGTGAAGCGTAGGGCTTCAGTCTAGAGGCTTGAAGTTTAGGCAGAATTGGCGTATATTTTTATAGGATGAAGTTGCTAGCCTCATGCCCAACCTTCCCCAGTCTTTACCAGTTTAATTACTGGCTTAGCGAGGTAAAGGAGTGTGTCGGTCGGAGATCGAACCCCGGACCACCTGCGTGATTGGCCAGCATTCAACCGCTGTGCCACCGACGCACTAAGATTAGCATGTTCCTGTCTTCCTGTGGAGATGCTAGGTTTCGAACCCAGGGCTTCTGACATGCAAAGTGAGCGCTCTACCACTGAGCTACGCCCCCAACAACTGTGAGGATTTGGATCTGTATAATTTCACTTTTTAGACTTCGTGTAAATGCAACATGAGATACAGCGATCAGTGAGGAGCAATAACGAAATCCAACAATTTTCATAAACACAAGGCGTTATCAGCCAACGTTATTCAAAGAGGAATTAATTTCCTTTAGAAGATGCTGAAAAAAACAGGCCTGCATTCTTTATATTTCATTGAATTAACTCCCTCCCTTCAATATTATATCTTAGAGAAGTCAGTAATAGCTAGTCGCCTCAACTTACATCGCATACTTTCTACTAATTTATTTACAATGGGCATCTGCAGTTTATTTTTCCATAAAATTTTAGGTTCTGTGAAGGATGACGTCATCAGTGACTCGCGTTGATCGCCATGACTATCGTTTTCAAAAATTAACACCTTGTACTACAAATCAAGTTTAGTATATTCTTGTGATATTATAGTCACCTCGAAACGCTGAAACTTACTGTAATCGACGATAACGTTTCGCATTCAAGAGTCTCCCTTATATAAACTGATAATCATCGGCTAAACTTGGCCCATCTCTTTCCCATGGATTTTTGAGATATACTATCAGCCTACTGAATATTTTGCAAGTAGTATGACAATATTGATAAAATCACAAGTTACATGCATTGCGCGTTGTCATTATTATTATTATGAGATATTTAATTTCGCAATAACAAATCAACTTTTTGCTCAAAACCTCCATGTTTATGCACTTTTCGTATAACTCATTCGAGTTTGATGTTCCAAATAAAACACCAAGAAGTAGTTTTAGATATTTTACCACAATAGAAGCTTACAGTTTGGTGATAAATGTGATTGTGTCTATTCACTGTCGACTTGAGAATAAAGTTTTTCAATCAGGGTATAAACTTTGTAGTCGCAGAACCAAATGATGCCGTAATTTTATTCAATATAGATAGAGAGAGTACTTTTTCAACCGCTTAATATAAGGTGCATATTTTATAATCAGCAGCTGATATTAGATGATCGTAAGCAATCGGCATGAAACACCTAGATATAGGTTTCGTGTTTCTTGACACTCTTCACCAAACTTGAAGGAATTCATGTCCCTTCTGAAACTGAAAACGCGAATCACCCTGTAAGATCAATTCAATTCCCATCCTTGAATCAAGTCAACCTGTCCCGGATCAGCCTAGCATTGTTGCAACCCAATTATCCATGCCTAACGTGTCTATCCCCCTTTGTTTAATGAACTGTGTGTATGTGTTTTTACCTCGATCCGTTTAGTCAGACAGTTGAACTCATGGCCCAATCAGAGTATTTTGTGAACTGTTATTTTTGCTGACCCATGTTTTTTTTTTTTTTTTTTTTTTTTTTTTTTTTTTTTTTTTTTTTTTTTTTTTTTTTTTTTTTTTTTTTTTTTTTTTTTTTTTTTTTTTTTTTTTTTTTTTTTTTTTTTTTTTTTTTTTTTTTTTTTTTTTTTTTTCTAACTTTGTACTATTCTGTCGAGTTTATCTTATTTATTGATTTTCATCTGTATTTTCCTATCTGGTTAAGCAGCCAATTAAATTCTATCTTTGTGCCTATGCTCGGTCTATCTCTCTTAAACGCTCTCTGTTTTATGCCATGCCTTACTTGGGTTCATTCTTCTACTGACTACTTACCTGAACGGTCGTGTCTGGTTCCGGCTAGTTCGCAATTTTGGCTTTAACGTTATTCCGCTCTGATAGCGGTACCTTGCTTTCTGTTAAGCGTTGTGCTTTGTACTCTTGAAACCGTTAAGTTTTGTTGTATATATAATTATTGATTTGTTTATTAATAGTACCGTAGAAACAGTGACCGGCTTCTTGTTTGTTCTTGACCGGGATAGCCTTTATCTACGCGTGACTTAAATTCAAGCGATATATTGCGCTTACACACCCAGTGTTGAATTTAGAGATGTTATCACTTTCGATTGCCTTCAAGTCAGGCGGCCATATTTCGAACTTGAGTGACGGACTTCACTTTGCATCAATCACATGACTAGATACAATGACACCAGTTAACTAGTGTCCAATAAAAGAACTAGTTAATAGCGTGTATCTGCAACTTTGACTCAGTACTAATTTTGTTTCAGATGTTACCAGTCACCTGTTCTAGAAGGATATTAAGGATGTGAAATGAGTTAAATGTTTCTAAGTGTCTCATAGCCACTCTTCTTACATGACGAGAAGTGCATAAGTGAGAAGACTTTGTCGAAAACACTGAGTTTTTCAGTAAAAATGCAACGTTTAGAATACTGAGACTACCTAAATGCTTTATATTTGACTGCTGTTGTTACTTTTTTTTCACGCTATATTCCCGTTAAAAGGTTGACCATCTATCATCTTAATGAAACTCTACACGTGACACCAGCAGGGAACAAACCGAAAACCTTGAGATAACTGTGCTAACCTGTTGACTATTCAGTGTGTACATGTGGCAGAGTAATCTCAAATCGGGATGAAACGACCATCCACTGCTCCTTGGTTAACAGTGTTTCTCAACTGACGTTTATACGAACATCACCCTGCGTGGTTGATTAAGTAAACGACAAACTAATATCTATTTGCATACCTCATCTTGTGGATACAGAACACAAGATTAATGTCAACGATGCAACTTCCAAAGTCCTTAACCTCATACCCACAAATACTAATTTCCCCTTAACAGTTCGTTTGCTAAATGTATCTGAGGCTGGCTGTTAGGATCCAAAATAAGTTGGTTGGTTCAGACATTGTCCTTAGCTTGGCCATCTAGGTTTAAATGATCCACAATTTTTGTGTAAAATTTCTCTATTTGCTATTTATATTTTTATTATTATTATAATTTATGCATCTTTAATGAACTGTAATTCCACTGATCTTACTAAACAAATCGATATTATTTATAAAAACACCAATATTGTTATTGACTACTATTCTAGAATATTCTATGTATGCAAACATATATATATAACTGTACAACCAGAAGAGGAGGAAATTATCGAAAACGATTTTCTTCTTTGCCCAACTATCTTGGAATTTATAGATGAAACATGACAAGTCGGGGTCCTCGAGACGGAAAAAATCAATGGTTGGAAACAATTGGTGACATGGCTCAAAACCGTTCTCAGTGGCGCAGATGCATCCACTCCCTGTGACTTATGATTTCCAATGAAACTGTTTTGTATTTCTTTATTACTCCTTTGTCTCACACCTCTGCTCACTGTTTCTATTATGCTTTTCTTGTACTTTTTTCTCTTGCTTTGTGTGCTACACGGAATGTGGCGACTTGAACTTCCGCACATTTGTGCAAAGTTCTATGTCGAAAACAGACAGACAGATGAGTGAAGGAATATTCTCACTAAATTGATATTAATCAAATCCCCATTGATTAACAATTGCAAAATTAAACTGTAGCAGACATACAAGATCCATCTGACATCTCCCAGCATGGCTAAGAGGAGGTGTGGTGAAAACTATTTACAGCTCGATATTGGAACATCTTGTGCAAACCAGGAACAAAGCCAGCGCAGAAGAATCCTTATTTATAATATACCAGGTGCTAAATAAATTGCCAAAAACATCGAAGCAACACATGCTCCAAACAACAGAGGCTATTGTAATTCACCTCAAACAACCTGTGCTTTGTGTGCAAGTCCACCCCTTACTACTGCACTGGCTGGCCTTCAGTAGAGAATATAAACTCATAAATTTGTAATATTATCTTTCCTAATTTTTCTGACATTCAACCTATTTTATGTTGATGCTATTGGGCTGTAATCTATGCTTGCTTTACTTGCTTTACTTCGGCTATCTCCTACGGGAGGATGAGCCGGCTTCATGAACCATGAAGTTTCATAGGAATTGGGTGCGAGTGATGTCCCCAGAATCGCTCGGCCTTTTGTTTGAGAGTGTAGCTCTAGCCTTTACACAACCAAGTGTGACCTACAAGGCAGTAGGAGTGGAGTAGGGAAACCACTATCCATTGGCAGCCGGTGACCGGAGTCCGGTTCATACGCCTTTTTGAATGGGGCCAGTCATCCAGGGCATCCAATAAGCCCTTTGTCCATACGTCTGCCGGTGAGCTTCATACGCCAGTTGTTGGAGGTTTGGAATCAGGGTTTAGCCATCTCCCCTAGACTGTCATCCAATGGACAGTCAACCCGGTGAAGAGCGCCGGGCATCCGCTTTCGCCCTCTCACTTTGGTGAAAAACACCTCCGCCCCGTGAAGGCAGTGAGTAGGACTTCCTCAGGAGAGGCTATGTCAGACGCCCGGTCATACGGCATCAATCTATCAATATTATTGATTCGATGTTATTTAAACAGCAACATTAACGTTGTTCATAACACTAATTCATTCATTCTACTGTATATATAACTGTAGAGCCTGATGATGAATTTATCGAAAAGAGTATTCTTTGTTCAGTATCCATTCTTTTGAAAATTATGAATGAATCAAGACGAATAAAATTCTTCGATCTTAAACCAGATGTAAAGGGTCAATAAATATGGGATACCTAAATGTGAGACGAAACCATACGTTTCACTAACATTTGAATTATTTGCCAATAGAGAGTTTTACATTGCCATTTATCGGATTACTACTAATACTACTAGCGTTACTGATAAGTAGTATAGTTTTGTCGGGTGAAATTTTTTATTTTCATAAAATATGTGAACTTACTTGAGATTTCAACTCCTTCGCAAATCTTGAACGACCACTGTGTCTCTAAATAGATAATAAAAGGTGAATGGGTAAGTTTAGCAGTGGATAGAGAGTAGGTTGAAACACTTTTTTCATAAAGGCCAAGTTACACATTTATCTTGTATAATATTGACACTTTTTATATTCATATTCCTGGCTAAATTTGTGTATTAAAATTAATAAACTGTTTAATTTCTTCTTCAGAAGTAGGTTCCGGATAGACTTATTGATGTATGATCACAAAATAACACGTCTAACACTTTGGCTTTAGATTGGAAAAAGCCTCATAAATGACTTGATACTTGGTAGTCAAATTGAATAGAATGCGATACAGCGGAGGTGTCAGAAATGAAGTCAATTAATTCTAGGTAAAGTGAGAATGTACCATAATCTAACACTTGACGATTCTTTTATGTCAGAGAAATTAAGATGTGTTGATTAATAATATGTTAAGTCTAGCTATCATTCGTGGATAGTGTTCGTGGGACTATTCGGTCGAAACTTGATTAGAACTCGTATGAAACGCACATACATAAAACTTGCAGGATCTGGACTTCGCTGATGATATATGTCTGATTTCTCACAGACTGAAAGATATGCAAGAAATGAAAAGCAACACGTTAGCAGAAGAAACACAAAAAATAGGAGTTTAGGTGGATATAGAAAAAACAGAGGTGTTGAAAATTCTTGACCAGCAGCAACAACAACAGACAACAACCAGAATTATTGGGAGAAATCTAAAAGAAGCAACCTCCTTCACCTACTCTACCTACCTCAGAAGCATAGTTTCAACTACAGGTGGACGGAAGTGATGAGGATATCAAAGTGAGAGTCGGGAAAGCGATGCAAGTCTGGGAAAAACAAGATCTGGATTTTCAAATGCAGTGCGAAGTCAGCCAGTGGTACTCTTTACAGATAAGAGATTTGGTGCCGCGCCACGTCATGAAGGTCACTTCGAACAAACTACAGACCTTCATCAACAGCTAGCTGTCCTCGCTCAATACTACGCAAGATCAGATGGCCAGAAAACATCTGCAACAGGGATCTCCGGAAGCGAACCAACACAGCAGAGACCGATTGTGTAGGAAATATGCAGGAAGAAATGGAGGTGGACTGACTATACTCAAAGAAAACAAACGCGTGACATCACACGCCAGGCCATTACTAGAGTGGAAGTAGCGAGTAGGTCGTCAGTGTGGAGATGATATGGAAGAGGTGATATGAAGAGGAGATGAAAGCATGTGGGAAGACGTGGAGCCGGATGAAAATGTCGGCGGAGAACTGAACATTATGCAGATATGTGGCTCAATCCCTATGTCCCCCTAGGAATTAATAATAATAGTGAAACACCATTACTATTCTTATTCTCTTGGAACCGTATCAGAATATAGGGCTCCAATAGCACACAATTCCACCTTAGCCTATTCTTTGAAGTGCTTTAAATTTGGCACCACGTTTATCCATTGACTGTCATTTTCTCCTACCTTCAGGCTATCTGATCTTTAGTTTGAAGCGAAGCTAGCTGTTGACGAAAGTTTGCAGGCTGTTGAAAATGCTTCTCGAGGTGCGTTGGTTTTCTTAAATCATGTAGAAGCATTGAAAGATTTGACATTAGTGTTGAAAATCTAAATCTTGCTGTTTTAATCTGAGTCCAGTCTAAATCTATTCTGCTTTCATACTGATGAGGGTCTGTCTTGCTAGTTCCACCCTGGCTGGCTTTGACATAATCATCCATTCCGACTGAAATTCAAACGATTTTGCCTAGATAAGTGATACTGGTAGCTTCCTTCAAGTTTCTCCCACTGATAGCGATAGATACTTGTTACCGTTAGTTTTCTTGATAGGTGGATATTACCATCACCACTGTCAGTTTATGTTTACCTGAAGTCATGTCTATGATACCAACTTCTTAGTTTACACCCGAGGATCTCCGAATTTATGCGACACTAGACATAAATCATTTACGAAGCCAATATCCTGCAGGAACTTCTCGAAAAGATCACCATATTTCTGTCTTCTAATCCCAACGGCTTGCTACACGTTTCAGTCCACAGAAATGAGGAATATCACCAGTTACCGTTGGCATTCTAGTCTTACTCGTGTTTTAAATTTCAAAGGTCATAAGTAGAATAACAGAAAATTCGGTCATAAATCAATAAGTGTGGGATAAGAAAAATACAAACAGACATACAAAAATGACCAGAAGTTAATCTGCCCAATACTGCTGAAGAGTCCCGAACTAGGACGAAACAGCAGCTGTCCAGTACTCCCAGGTTTTCCAGTGGTTCTCTTACTGATGTCAGCTCATGATGAGATCCTCCATGCAATCAAACAAAATTTCTACAAAACCAATACTTGAATATATATATATATATATAAAGTATGTATCAACTTACCACAATGAAATCGCGGAAATCTTTGACCGATTTCTCATCAATACGACTGTGTGATACAAAAGAAGGCAACATAGTAAGATAATAATTATTCATGAATAATTCCCATTCGAACATTAGTAGACAAAAGACAAGTAGTTCAGCGAAGAGTCTCTTTTCGGCGAATTCATTTTCATAGCTGTACAATCGCAAATATATATGGTTATTTTGCGTGAGTGTGTGTGTACACATTAAATTTGTAAAACGAAAATACAATTAGTAAGTTCAGATGAATTGGATGTTGATATAAGAGGGTAGTGACAAAAGTGATGGGTTGTCATAAACGATTGTTAAAGAAGAGTTACGTAATGGCATGAATAGTTTGATGAATGAGTTGTGCTCAGGGTGTACATGGAAACAAAATAATATATAGAATTACACAGGGGTTTCAAGTTAGAAAAATAAGCATTCAAACAGAATTAAGGTCAAATCAACGGAGTTGTTACCATGCGAGTAGAAGTGGTTGAGTAATTTTCTTTTGTCTGCATAGTTCTGGTTCCACCAACTGAATGGCTAGGGCTTCTGCGATGCAAAGAAGACGGAATCGTACTGTCTTTGGAAGGTTGTTCTTCACTTTGTAGATTACTTTGAAGCAGGAGGCGTTTGTTGAGATGGAATGACCAGTGTTGACGAGATGTTCGATTATTGCACTCCTTATATGGCCATTATTTCTTTTCTGTAGCCACGCTGGATAGTGTTCTTTGACCCCTTTTGACAGGATGCGCGTTGAACGACCGATGTACCTGGCTCCACAGCAACAGGTGAACTGATCTATACACATAGAAGTGGTCATGCGCGGAATCTTGTCCTTTTGGTTTCTGCAGATCAGCGGGCGACTGGAGAACACTATTCTTAATGTTGCCGCAGGGAAAGTTCTTCCTAAAGAGGTGGAAATTCTCCTTCTGAGGACGTCACTAAGTAGGTCTCCTTTGAAGTCTAGGTTCATATAAAGTATCTTTTTTATCTTTTCATCTGAACTTACAAATTGTATTTTCGTTTGACAAATTTAATGTATACACACACACACACAAAGTAACCATATATATTTGCGATTGTACAGCTATGAAAATGAATTCGCCGAAAAGAGACTCTTCGCTGAACTACTAGTCTTTTGTCTACTAATATTAATTATTATCAAATATATTACTGTTTAAGTTATTCAGTATAGAAAACAGTTCTTTGTCTTTTTGTATAACATCTATAGGATATTGCTATAGTAATATAAAAGATGAACTCATGGGAAAAAAACTGAGATTCACCGGAATGCAGTAGATGACATTAAAAGTCTGTTAACATCGGCTTTATGTTCAGGATCTACAAGAGGACCTAAATTTGCTTCATTCCAAAATAGTACTATTGAAAGTGTGGAGTTCTTGGCATTTAATACAATATTGCATCTGATTTACTCTTCAACACTGAAAACAAAAATAAAAGCATAATATTACAGGGTATTATTATTATTGTTTCTTTTAATTCCCAAAAGAACATAGGGATTCAGCCAAACGTCTTCACTGTGTCCAGTTCTCCACCAACGTTTTCACCTGGCTTCACTTCTGCTTACATGCGTTCATCGACTCTTCATATCACCTAATCCATGTTACCCTCGCAATGACGACAAACTAACCACTTCCCATTCTGTCGGGTTCCACTCGAGCAACGGCCTGTCATGTGATGTCACTTGATGGTTTGTTTTTTCAGAGTATGGCCAGCCAATCCACCTCCATTTCTTCCTGCTTATTTGTTGCACAGTTGATTCCGCCTGGGTTGGTTCGTCCCCAGATAGCACTCCTAGTTGCTGATCTTTTCTGGACGGCCATCTTATATGGAGTGCTATTGAGCGAAGACAGCTACCTGTTGATGAAGGTCTTTAGTTTGTTCGAAGTTCTCTTCGTGATGCGTCAAGTCTCTGATCTGCATACTAAGTAGCACTGACTTCACATTAGAGTTGAAAATCCGAATGTTATTTTTCATGCTGAGTGCTGAGTGTTGATCTCCACACAGACTTGAGACTAATGAAAGTTTACCTTGCGTTCCCGATCATCAATTGGATGATATCTTAACCAGTTCCGTCCGCCTGTAGTTGAAACAGTATTTCCCAGGTAGGCAGGTGCAGGAGGTTGCTTCTCTCAGATTTCTCCTATTTATGCTGATTGTTGTCTGTTGTTGTTTTTGCTGTTGCTGTTGGCCAGGAGTCTTCATCACCTCTGTTTTCCGTATTATCACCTGAAGTCCTTCCTATCTTTTATCCTTCTTCTATCGTCAACTTGTCGCTTTTCATTTGTATATCTTTCAGTTTGTGAGAAATCAGACAAATATCCCATCGGTGAAGTCCAGATCCTCCAAGTTTTTTGCATGGATCACTTTCACGCCTGTTTCCCCGATGTCTGTCACTCTCTGTCACATTATCCAGTCTACTGCAATCAGGAAAACCATTGGAGATAGTAGCCAGTCAGTTAGCCTTGTCTTACGCATGTCTTCACTTCGAAGGATTCCGTGAGTTTCCCAACGTAGATTACTTGGCATGCAGGATTGTCGTACAACCGTTTGATGAGATGTATAACTGTTGGCAGCTTTATTACAAGGCAAAGGGAACCAAAATTGATGATAGCAACTTTTCGACATTATCGAAGACAACAAAGTCAAAAATGTACAAAACGTGTAAAATAAGGATGATACTAGTGTTAATCGCTAAATTTATAGCTAAAGTTAATTAGAATAATGACAGCACAGATAACAATTAGGACATATTTAATAGTGTGTGGAATATTCCTAGATCATGAATTAAAAGTCGATCTGAACGAAGAATATTCTTTTCAGTAATTTCTCCTCTTCAGGTTCCTACAATTATAAAATATGTAATATTTATTGTCGCTACAATAATGATAGCCTGTTGTGCGGTGGATACAGCTTTTTACGTACAATAACAGATTAGTTTTGGGTTTTTTGTATTACCCAAAGGACGAAAAGCAAAACGATATTGTTCCTACTGACGTTTCTCTATTTAATGGTCATAGCCTTATCAAAGTAGTAGTAGTAATAAACCAGAATTTACAAAATCCACTCATCTTATGTATATAACAACCTAATCATTGTTCCTTGCGTTGTCAAGTTGGCCAATGGGTAAAGCTGGCAAAACCATCATGTGTAGATTGTTGGATCTGATAAGTGTGTAAAATTATAAAATGAAATTGCTTATCAAATTCATGTTGATTTTGTCATTTCATTGGGGGAGGAGCAAATTCTGTTTATAGTCCATAATTTCCATTAGGATAATTTGGATTCCATTTCACATGAAATGCTTCTGATATTGGACGTTCCCCGTGATTTCTGAAATTTTTCTAGATGATATGATTATGATCAATAGTTTGTGCTCAAAACGCGGTCATTAGTTAATATCACTGTACAACAGTATGTGATTTATCAAAATAAAATCTTAGCTATAATGGAGTTTCTAGATGATGGTTTCAGTATTTTCAAAATCAATTTTGTGGCCTGATTCTATTGCGTAGCGTGTAGATGACCTATGGCTGATGATTTCGCAGGCTTTTCTAGTTCAACTGGATTTCTTGGCGGTTGGACAGAGTCAAGTCTATGGTGTTCATCTCTTCTGATTTTGATTCCTCTCTGGTGATGTTTGTCGGATGTATATCGCATCACATTCCAAGCATTTAATTTCATAGACACAATTATTATTATTATTTTTTTTTTTTGATTACGGCTTGATTCCACACCGTATTTTTGGTACAAGTGTGGAATTTTCAGCGTGGATATCGGTAGCCCAAAATTCGCAGGCCGACCATAGATATCAAGTGTGCGTCGGCGTGGCCTCGAACCCCGGACCATGTGCATGGTCGGCGAGAGTCCTGACCACTGTGCCACCGAGAATCCTTAGGGATTTGATTTTTCACATGGACAAGGTTGCTTTTCACTGTGTGTCTGATTTTTTGAAGAAAACTCTGATGTTGTGCTTATTGAATACTCTTTTGATATGGTCTAATATCGATCTTTCTCCATAAAGTTGTACTAGTGTAACGGCAGAAGGCAAGGGCCAGGTAACGGCTTGTTTATGGATAAAATCAAGAGGTATTTATAGAATTTTATATAAATTATTGTTAGCGGTTGAAGCAACCTCTTCTGATCGATTGTTTTCTTGCTGAAGTTTATTCTTTACTGCTTGTGGCCGTTACTCAGAAAATCCAGCTAAATATCTGCGAATCATATTTCCTCGTATTAACTCCACTGTGATTGGCTGGTGATTTTCTAAAGATTAAGCTTCATTATTGTTTTTCTAATGACCCTCATTCTGGACGTGAACATTGACGTAAATTGTTGTTCACAATTTCGGTTTGCAGCTAGCTTTTGATTTTGATTTTTGATTTACAGCTTGATTCCACACTGTATTTTTGGTACAAGTATGGAATTTTCAGCATGGATATCGGTAGCCCAAATTTTGCAGGCCGACCATATATATCAGGTGTGCGCCGGCGTGGGCTCGAACCCCGGACCATGTGCATGGTCGGCGAGAGTCCTAACCACTGTGCCACCGACGCCCACCACACTGGTCCCCCAGTCAAAAACATTTGACTGAAGTCGACTGAATCTTCTTGATGCAAGTGATTTTGTTCGTTTGTCTTGCCGTACCGAATTCCAGCGCTTTCTATACGTTCACCCACTCCTCTTCGTTTGCATTTCTGATCATATATACATGACCCCGTCTCATAATGATCATGTATGGTCCTTCGCACTTTGGAAGCAGTTTGCGCAGCCCTGAAGCGCATTCGTCGGTGTTTCGCCTCACACTTTCACATGCTACCTTCACCCAACCTACCTGTAGCGTTCCAATTAACAGACTCATCGATGATGGATCCTGAACTCCACTCAGCTGCGCCACAGCCTCGAAGTCTTACCAGAAGATCCACATGTCTTTGTCAAAAGTTGCAGGGCATAGACTTTCCATTTGTCGACAGGTAGCGACACAAAATGTAATAAAAGAGGACACGAAACGGAAGCCAAAGTATATTTTTCAATAATCAAACGCTGTTTGTATACCTACAGGTTACATTCGTTAACCAGTCACTGAGCGTGTGATTTTGGTTTACGATTAGATCTTCTTCAGGCTTTACTCTAATTTACATAGACTTATATACATAAAATTTTAACCAATGACGGTGATTTTGTGGATCAAATAATAATAGTAATCATAGTAATAATAATCATAATAATAATAGTAATAATAATGTGGTAAATGTTTTGAACGAAGTTAATAGCGATGATTATAATAATAACAAAATATTGTTAATAAGGCTTATATAGGTGATAAGAATCACAAAGTTAGTATATGCATATATGTAGACAATTCAATCAATAAATAAATTAGGTCAGATCAAATGGAACGATAATCAGAGTTTAAATAAATAAATATCATAAAAGTATGAAGGAGAGGGATGATAAGAAAGGGTGGAAGGGTTTTGAATAGAGTTCACCTAGGCCAGGCAAGGGAGAGACAAAGGTAGAACAAATTTCTTTTGTATACAAAGACTAGGATTGTTCTACGGGTTGATCACGTATTGATATCAGTAAGAGAACCTTTGAAAACCAGGGAGTACTGGACAGCTGCTGTTCAATCCTAGTTTGGGAATCATCGGAAGTACCCACCCACTGGGATTCGAATACGGGACCTTCCGGTTACAAGGCAAGCTCGTATACCATTCAGCCACTGGGACCCGATTCAGTGGCTCGTGAATTCTAACTTCTACTAATTCGTGATTGTTCTCTCGAATTCCCATAGCTTCGGCTAAGTGTAAAATACGGGTTTGATTCCGTTCGAAAGATTAGATGGAATGAGGTAAATAACTTTGAAAGCACTATTTTTGTCCACTTGGTGACCACTATCAATCAAATGAGCCAAAATAGAACTTCGTATGGATTTTATTTGACCTTTTCCGAACCATGATGGAAGATGCTCATTAATGCGTTTGTTAAGCTGTCTAGTTGTTCGACCTATATAGCTTTCTCCACAGGAGCAACTAAATTTATAGATACACATGAAAGTGGCACAACTATTATTATTATTTGATCCACAAAATCACCGTCATTGGTTAAAATTTTTTATATATAAGTCTATGTAAATTAGAGTAAAGCCTGAAGAAGATCTAATTGAAAACAATATTGTTCGCTTATATGTCTTGCTCTAATATTATAAATGGGAATATTTAAAGATTTTGGTTTACGTCAAACAACATGAAATACAACGTTCAAATATAATACATAATATTCTTTTGAAAATGCAGTATATAACCGTGGGAAATGAATTCTGTCTCTAACATCAAATCTAATGTTCAAATAGATATATCATATTCTGTGGCTAATGATGAATGGAAATCTGGGAACATGTGAGAATAACACTCTGTTGGGATCCACATTGTCTCCATCAGACCGCCATACTACTACCACTTAGTCTCGCACCATATAATATTTATGGAAAACGTATCTAACATACACTTACCTTTGTTGTAACAGATTAGAAACCAAGGCGCGAATATCGGCTTTCCGTCTTTCCGCTTCATCGTCTGGTAGACTGTCGACACTTTCAACTGACACTTGTCGTTCTAAAGGAGCTACTTCAGCGTACATTGGACGATCACCATCATCTCCATATTCACTAGCAGAACTATCATCATCATCACCACCATCACCGCCTTCGCCAGGTTCTTTTGACCTCTTTTTCTTAACATTTTCATTGGTTGATTGTTCCCCAGGTATTTTAAATGAAGTCAATTTGCTAGATATGTCATTAATCAATCCATTCTTTTTAGTTTGTACTGAATCTAAAAACTTTGATGTACCCGATAGGAAGTTGCTCATTCCAGCGGTAGCAGAACCAGCAGCAGCAGTTGTACCCTCCTCTTCACTGTTTCCATCTGGGCTCAGCACATTTTTAAAGAATCCTTTCACACTCATTATGGTAGATAGCTGATCTTTGAATTATCTGATTTCTGTAAAGGTAAAACGATAGGGAATATGTGTTACTTTTGAAACCGCAGTAAGTTATTATACAGTGTCATTACGTAATTAATGCTGTGACTGTTCATTTGAGACGTTTGGGGGAGTTTTCTTAATAAGTTCATGTTGTTATCACTGTGGGCTGACTCTACTTTACGATCAGTCTTCACGCCTTTCTGAGCTTAAATTAGTCTGGCAAGATAGGTAGTTTAAGCAACAGGACCCTGATCACTTGCGTCGTTTGATCGACACTTGAGACCTATTGCGAACCAAGAACTAGGTGGTGTCCTCAATGATATGAATACCCCAAAAGAAATTTCTTGACAAAGCTCTTGAAAGATTATAAAGTAGCGTTTTAAACTTCAAATAATTCTTCCTGGATTGTTCACTAGGTGACTTCAGCTGGAGAGCCATTGAAAGCTAGAGAGTGCCAGATAGTTGGTTCGTCCTCGTTTGGACCTTCTCACATTATGCACCTAAACCATACTACAAATCGATATTAGGACTTCCAGAATACCTAGCAAACTTGTTGAAAATTTGTCCACTGAGGCAGAAAACAATCACATATCACTTCTATGTTATGTCGACCCACTACATAAAGAGTGAACCTATGTCATTGGTGACTGTCTGTCCTCACGCTTAAAATGATGGACCCTATTTGTCAAAAAATCCTCTACGTAATGGTATTATAAATGATGATTTTGGTGAAAAATAAACTTCTGTAGTCAGAAACATCAGGGAAAATTCAGGTGAAAGATATTTTTAATGTCAAAGTCTGGATTTTTGCATTCGTCTTCTATTAAAGGATCTAATCCGTGTTATGTTTAGCGTTATAATTCACCTGACAATTTCGTGTCTCAGACTTTCTGATCCTACATCTTGGTAAAGTCTATTTACTGAGGAATTCAAGAAATTGGAGTCTAGTGACTAGCAGTATAATCCAGGATGCGCCACATTTAGTCTTATTTGGAGCCGAATTGTTAACCTGAGTCAGAGCTTTTCGGTCCAGTCAGTCATCGAGGATACCTGCTGCAAAAGAGGTGCCTCTTGCGACCGAGACAATTCTAGTAGATAGCGCCATGGCATTTGAAGCAATGGGAGCTGGGTTCGAGTCTCAATGAGAACACCATCGATCACTGGGAAATGCCGGCACCTCCAGATGACAAGTTTCGAATAGGAAAAAATGCGCATCCATAATACACTAATTTACACAAAAGATATTTTTAAAGTTGTATTTGGATACTCGTTAGATGAGTTTTTAGTCCTAACATCGTGTACAGTGAACAGAACAATAACTTATGCCATTCCCTGACCTCAATTTAATTCACTCACATCTCTAGAAACCAAGACGTGAAAATTAATCTTGCTAGTGACTGACTACAGGATTAAGTTGATCGAAGTTTCATGAAGAAATTGTGTTTGGTGTTTCTACCAAGTTGAGCATGAAGATAGGTACTCGCGGTGAGGATACCGGCTGACATTTGTGTCATATTGTCGCAAATTCCGTCCCAGTGGCTCAATTTGTAACCTAAACGCTCAGGGACTGATCCTCGATTATATCATCGGTGGTTAGCACTGGAAAGAAATAGCCTCTCAGTACTTCTTGGTCATCAGTGGTTATGTAACTCATGTCACTCAGTAATATCACTTGAAATCAAACAAATCCCAGCATACCAACATTACAACCTAATATCACCAGAATGAAGAGCTGATATTTTCGTTTATACTCCTATATTACTTATCAGTAGTTAAAGTTATTTTGTGAAGATTTAGTGGCGAAGTTAATAACGTTCATCATCAGAGGAGTGAAGACTGGTGTATTCTCACGGCGAAGTATTTCACTAATGGGAAGTTAATAATCACACGGTAAACATCGATACAGTTTATTTTCATGCCTAAAGATGTTTACTGAGCTGACAGTCACTGTTTTGCTGTGAACTTAAGCAACCTACTGGCTTGCATTTCGTTATATTCTCATGTTAAGTTGTGAAGAATACTGTAATGCCCGTTTCTGAGTACCTACTTAACACAAAAGAATACCCTTTGATTATGAATAAGGGACTAACAAATAAGCGGGTAGTATTATGAAATGCAGGGTATTCACAGAAATCTTTCTGGACTATCTCAACAAGAGCATATGCTAGTAGTTCCACGGTGGCGACTGTCAGTCATGTTCCAGACCCTATTTTAGAGGCATAACTGCTATATCTGTCTATTCCTTTAACAGAAATTATTGATCTAATCAAAAACTCACGAACCTTTAAGATCTGTTCTCATTAGATTCAGTTTGTTCACCGGCAATAACTGAGGTGGATAAGAGAATTATCAGAGTTACAAGGCAATCTAGGCTCGATAAGTTCCACCGTGCTTATTCCAATTTCTATTCTGAACTGATGGCTGATAATCACTTCAAAGCTAAATGTACTATGCATCAATACTGAACCTCCCCTGACAAACGACCGTGAAAGTTAGTCAGCAAAACCGAAAATCATCATCAAATCAGTGTCACCTTGTTATTGTCACTTATACACTATGTGTAGTCAACATGCAGAAAGTGCGGTTATTGTATATTCAGTACGACTCACTGTCAGGTGAAGTGTTCACTAAAGTGAGATAAAACGAAAATGTCCAAAGTATACAGATAAGAATTTAGGTTGGGCAAGATCATGGAAATACATTATTTGAGATGCTCTTAACACTAGAGTCAAGTGATGTTTGAAGCCAGAGGTAGCCAACAAAACTCCAACGTCAACAGACTAGTACTCTTAAGACTGACAATAGCAAAAGTACCAGTTATTGAAAAGGGGTTAGCGAACTAAGCATCACTGACGAAAAAAAATCAAACAAAAACAATCACGTTTACTCGAAACATATTACCCGTAGTTGTTTAAATAGCTCGTTCACTATTCACTGTCCTATGTTAAGCAGTTATTCAAAAGGAAAGTTTTGAGAATGTGAACAGTTATATGAATTCGTGGCCTCAAAGACAAATGAGTAAGAGGGAGTTTGCATACTAAATGTTAATTCACAGTGGTTCGTCGATCGAATTCTTCTCTTCATCTTAACTAATGAGATTCATCATATAATTTCGTTTTAAACATTATTCCCACCTCACCACATATATTTTCCGGCGTTTTTAACAAGGAAAGTAGAACATCAAGGCGGATTGAATGCCTACTAACCAAAACTGCTGGGCTAAGCTCTTCATGAACATCATTTTGAGAAGACTTTTTTCTGAACATTTTGAAATCCTAAATATATACATAAACAGTTTCACGTTATTCCATCTCATTACAATTATTATTATTTCCTTTAGTTTCCGGACAACAATCAGCATAAGTGGGAAGAACCTGAAAGAAACAACCTCCTTCACCTACCTGGGAAGCATCGTCTCAACTACGAGGACATCAAAGCCAGAATCGGAAAAGCAAGACAGGCTTTCATTACTCTTAAGTCTGTGTGGAGGTCAACAGCACTCAGCATCAAAAATAAGATCCGGATTTTCAACTCCAATGTGAAGTCAGTGCTACTATACGGATCAGAGACTTGGCCAGCGCGTCATAAAGAGCATCTCAAACAAACTACAGACCTTCATTAAAAGTTGTTTTCTCTCAATACTCAAGATCAGATGGCCGGCCAGAAAAGATCAGCAACAGGGATCTCTGGGAGCGAACCAATCAGGAACCGATTGTGACACAAATAGGCAGAAAGAAATGGAGATGGATTGGCCATACGCTGAGGAAACCATCAAGTGACATCACTGGACAAGCCCTCGAGTGGAACCCGAAAGGGAAGCGGCGAGTTGGTCGTCAGTGCAAGGGTGACTTGGAGGAGGTCATGCGAGGAGGAGATGAAAGCATGTGGACAGACCTGGAGCAGGGTGAAAAAGTTGTCAGAAAACCGAAGGCAATGGAGGTGCGCAGCTGAAGCCCTATGTTCCTCTAGGAACTAAAGGATACAATAATAATAATAATATAATTAGTTTCCGGAGGAACATGGGTCTTCAGCCGAACGTCTGCATTGCGTTCAGTTCTCCGTCAACGCTTTCACCTGGCTCCACGTGTACCTAAATGCTTTCATCTACTCTCCGCATGACGTCCTCCATGTCACCCTTAGACGGGCAACTCACCGCTAGAGATTAGGGTTCCACTTGGCAGAGACAGCCAGGCGTGTGGTGTCACTCACTTGGTGGTTTGTTATCTCAGAGTATGGCCAATCCACCTCCAGTTTTTTAATAGTTATATACTTTAGGGACAGAGGGTGAAAAGTACAGAGAATCTAAAATGATGTGTGTAGGAAAGTTTCAATAACAAGTACAACTGGCCGTATATTCGCTCATTATGACATTACGTAAAACCCTCACGTTCTATCTGTTAACTATCCTTTTCATCGCAAACATAAGCAAAACAATATCTGCTATCAAACGGAAGTTAACATGTATAAATGCATTCTCATTAATTGCTCAGGGTCACTTATGTATCGGCTGATATAAATCACAGCCGATGGTAACATTGATTGAAATCACTGTGATCAACTGAAATAAAATTTCAACAGTAGCAACAGGATATTAACAACATTAGTTCCACAGTTAATTGATTGGACTGAAACGTTCGGCATCTCCTGATGTCTCTGCTCCTAGTAGGCACGCTTATACTAAGCTCTTTCTGGTGAACGGGGACAAGAGACAGCACCTACGAAGCGCAGACTGATTGTCTATTATCCACGATGATATTCTTAATTGTGGTCGACTGGATTACGCGTCAGAGTTTGTGCGTGTGAGTGAGAAGACAGGAATACGCTGGACTGATAAGAAATTTCTAGAAAATCTGAATTTTGCTCCTAGGAGATTTATGTTTAATGTCACACAAACTCGAAGACTTACAGGCAAAAACCAACAAACCGGCAGAAGAAGCCTGCAGAGAAGGCAGGACTCCAGGTGAACTTAGAAAAAACAGGGGTGATGAAGGTAACCAGCCACCACTAACAGAAACAA